AGTTAGCAGGTTTGTTAGGTATATATTGTATCCAGCTACACCTACCTTTAAAGGGATGGAGCATTTCATCAATTGTTGTATACTCTGACAAATTGTCTGTCAAAAAACGATCTAATGGCTTTATGCCACCCAAATAGAGGAGTCCCAAAAAGGCCAATAACTCACTCCTGCCACATTCCTGCAATCTCTATCTCTCAAATATTAGGTTTTATCTTTATCTTTATTTATATATAAATTGGTAAAAATTAGAATTTCATCAACCATATCAATATTGACAATAGTAAAAAACGCATCAATTTCTATTTTTATTTGACATGTGGTTCCTTTTAATCCCGGTGGTACTCTCATTATATTTTGTTACTTTGTCTTAGATGTGGCAAAAGAAGTTTATACCACTTACTTGTTTTATTCTTGCCAATAAATGTGTCTTCAATGTTTTCGTAAAACATTCCTTCTCATCTGACATATCTTGGTCTGAAAATGTATCGTCGTGGTTCTCCTAAATTTGTTGTTCATCAAAATCACTATCACTTTCCAATATTTCATCTGTTTCATCTTTAATATTTGTCATATTATTTAGAAGTTCCTCTAATTGTGCTTGGGTTAACAGTTCCTTTGAATTTCTACGAGACATGGCGTAATCATAATTATAAAATATGTTATAATATAGAATTCTACAATAATCTAATATGTTTCATATATATTATTAATTCTTATAAATAGTTATATTATTAACAATTTTACTTTCCAATAAAATTTCAATTTCTCGAAAAAGATATAATATCTTTTAAATATATAAATAATATATTAGTTATTTCAAAAAAAAAATGCAGAATTGTCTGCCTCGATGTACTATTCACAATAAAGTACGATAACTAACTAATTGGATTTGGATTTCACAAGAGGATGATGGATACCGACTAAGAATTAACCGATACGGGTATTTTAAAAATATCACATACTTAGCGTAGAGTCCGACAAAGTTTGGGAATGTGACGTAGTGTTTCGCGCAGAAAGGCGGACCATTTCTACCAGTGGCGGATGGAAACCGGTAGCTTTAAAATAAATTTTTATAAGTATATTCAATTAAAGTAAGAATAAATTTGTTAATTTTTATTTTTATAGTTTTTAATATTTATGAAGTTTATAGTCAGGCATTCGATAAAATAATGAGAAAACTATTAGGAGTACTTAATAAAATAACAAATTCCTCAATACTTACAATTTATTAACATTTCCAGGAAGGAAGAAAGGGTTTCAACAACACAAAAAAATAAGGAATTTATTTTAACCAATTAAATAATGTCCTTAAATTTTCTAAAGAGTAAGATTGTAAAGACTTCTATGTTTTCTTATATGACAAAGGAATATGACACAAAACACGTCTCTTCCGGAATTTGAATCACTATCTTCAGTATCAGAAAGGCTTTCTTCGGATGAACCAGTATTAATAAAAATTATAAGTGGTCCAGCGTAGAGTCTAATAAATGTTCTTTTGCGATTTGAGTGTTTTCATATTTTTTTACGTGTTTACATATGTTAGACCACTCTTCTATTAACACTTCTGAAAATTTTGTTCTTGTTATATTTTCAACATCATTTATGTTAAATGATTATGAGTGGCCACTGTACCTTTTACCAAAGCCCATATTTTTTCGATAGGGTTTAACTCCGGATGATAGGGAGGCAAGCGAAGTACTTTATGTCCATGTTGTTCAAGCTCATAATCTAATACATAAACTCGTAGAAAATGTGGTTTATTGGCTTGTATAATTTTTTATAATTCCGGTTAAATTGATTTCTTTACAAGTTTTTCCACTTTGATCTGACCAGTGGTATGGTAAAGTACGGCTGCTGTGTATATATGTTTCATCGGTATAAACTATGGTTCTACCCTCAGATCGAAATTGAATTAACTTCTTTAAATATTCTATTCGTTTTAAACGAATTTCATATTTTTTCATTAGGACACTCCTATTATCTTCGGTTTTTCTCCACCTGTAATTTGTTCAAGATAATTTGAAGAATATATTTTCAAAAGTATGATGGTTTAAATTTCAAATGTATCACAACATACAGAAGTGAGAACAATTTATTTAAATTTATTTAAATATAAAACAAACATTTTATTATATAGAATCATATCGTATTTTTTGTTTACAGTTTTTCGGAAACCGGAATCGAAATAGATTATTCAAATATTTAGTACCTACTTTTGAAAAGACACTACTCACATTCATCATAAGTTTAACTAAAACGATGCCAATAAAATATCAATTTAAAATACATTATCCATTATACAGTTTTATCTGTTCAGCTGAATAATTATTTTACTGTGTTTAATCCAATTGTGATTTTCCTTAATGATTCCTTTGACCCTGGAAATCCTGTTTCTTTGTTCTTTAGTTTTTGATAAATACCTTAAATAAATAGAAATAGGTAGTTAAAATATTTGGAAAGTAAATCTTGTTTACTAAGTAAGTAAAATTGCAAAGGAATT